GTTTACAACAGAATTAATTTTTACATCTTTTTTTACAGAAACGCCTACACCCCCATCACATACAGGTATTTATATTCAAATTATTTTTTTTCGTTTATTTCTTAACGTCAACTGCATGTCTTTATAACAAAGGTCAGATACAAGGTCAAAACATAAACCTCATACGCCATATAATCATGTTAATGTGGCTTGTTGACATTTCACATATATGTGTAGTTGAGACGACAGACCAGCTAAATCATTCGTTTGTGTATAAGGCCTACCAACACTAATATAATGGTTATATTATTAGGAGTCATTCTATGTTTGTAGAGGAATTAATATAATTAATTTTCTGTATACCTGTGTTTTATACTTTAATTATACTTTATAGATGTCAGCAAGGCCTTTATTTTACGCTATTATATTATATAGAAAGAGCGCTCTAAAACTTACATTTACTTTCGCAGATTCCTCAGTGATTACAAAATAATAAAATCGATATTTTGCATTTATCTAGGCTTGACTGTTTACACTGTATATTTTTAATATATCGAAACTGAATTGACTAAAGGCATTCTATTTTACCGGCACATTATTTTGATTCATAGAAAGTTTTCAAGTTTTCACTTGGTGGTAGGTTGAATAATGCATTCAACCTACCAGAGTCCCCTCTTCTCAAATATATATCCATATTGTGCTATTTTTAAATTAATTTTTTATAGCAAACTATACGGTACTTAACTGTACATTGTGTTTTTTTTTTCCAGCCCAGTATACAAATACAAGTAGTTTGGATAGGTTCGCCTTCTATCCGAATACTGCAATTCCACGTTTTATAAAAAGATTAACTGACATAGATTTGGAAAGGTGCGCTGATGAGTGTCTGCAACAAGAAGCATTCCTGTGCAGATCATTTGATTTCTCTGGAACTGTATGCTTTTTGAGCAAGGATAATTCGGCATCTCTACCACTTGCTACATACGTAGATTATGATTATTACGAAAGAATTGATATAGGTATGATGACTTATATACACGACAACATAATTATGAACTAATACATCAAAAAAGAAACCAGTGGGATAACAATGACACAATAAAAAAAAATGCTATGACTTTAGAAATGAAGCAACGAGGAGTTCTCTCAGTCTACAACATAGCATTGGAGTCAAGCAAAAACAAAAACTCGTACAAATAAAAAATTTCTGTCAATTATAAATAGGTAATGTTAAAACCATAAACTGACGTTCGCATATTATAAGGGACACCATTTTCGCAAAACATCTAATAATTAGCACTGCAGGTTTTATAAAGTTTCATAATTCTGCAAAGTGCATAATATAATAACGATAAAAATAATGGTGATTATGATAATAATAGTGATTGTTATTATCATTCTTTCTTAGTGTATCTTACGCGTACAATTGACTTCAGTTTTAAAGCCAGGCTCCGGAGGGAAAAAATGATACGGGAAAACTGGTGGAAAAAGTAGAAAAAGAGCGGTTACTGTCCTTCCCTCCCCCATCCAGTTTTTAAATATTCAAAAATCTGTATGTCGTTAACCGCTTCCGAGTTATTCGTCAAATACGCTTTTTGTGTTTTAGAAGAGCAGATTTACAAAATATCAATTTTCCCTCCGGAGCCTGGCTTGAATAGGTTCAGCGGAGATATTAGTGCCCAATTGTCTTGAGTTTTTTTTTTCTTTACAATTTGATATTGTCATGAGTGATTGGTATTGATAGTGTGATGTTATTTTGCCTAACTATTTCATAAACTATCTTTTATGACGAAATCAAGAATTATGGTTCATAAATGCCAGATTTGCATTTGGTATTTATTTTAGCAACTTATAACCTAAAGACGCATTCTCTTCGCCTCTAGGTTGTAAGATATTTTGGCCGTCAAAACGTGTCCTCATCGACCACTGATTCCACCGCACTTATGCTATTATTTATATTTTAGGACCAGTTTCATCCTTTGAGATTGTGCCAAACTCTAAGTTGCCTTATCAGAACGTCGAAGTACATCTCAACATTATGTTAGAAATATGTGCGGAGCTTTGCACTGCCTCAACCTCATTTTACTGTGCTTCCTTTGAGTTTAATCGGTTTACCTATCAATGTTCCTTAAGCAATGTTAGCCGTCAGACAGCAAATCCACCAATTCGCAGTAATTATCCGAACAACCCTTATGATTACTACGAACGAAAAACAATTGGTGAGTACTGTAAACATAGACCAGTATTATTTAATAACTATTAAATTCTGCAGGAGGAGGGCAAGGATTTTGCCCAACGGGATATCCAATTTTCCCGACGGGGTCCGATGGCTTTCGGAAGAGGGAAAGGGGTGAAGCCTCGAAAACTATGAAATTGTATCTATTTCATTATTACGTAGTACGTATTAGTCTTCTGATATGTAAAAATATACAAGTATTTTATTTGTCCCCGACCTCTGTCTGACGCTACCCCTGATATTGTGAGGTTTAATGTCTGAATTTGGATTTTGCTTTTTATAAAACCTGGTGCACACTCTATGATTCGTCGCATAGAGTGTGACAGATCACACATTAAAAAGCAGGATCAAAATTTGTAGGTATACAATAGAACCATGGAGGTAAACGAATTTGAAATAGGCCTATCCTGTATTTTCATAAGGTACTAAGGATCCAAAGATTTTCTGTCCTTCAAGTGATTCGATTTTTACAACATCAAATGTGAACTATGCTGCACCAACAACTGATAATAGTAACCACCCTCCTTCAATCACATGTGATCCTCCATCTGGGTCTTTATTTCCTGATGGTGTAAGTAGTGTTGAGTGTACTGCGAGTGACCAATTCAACAAAACCGCGTCCTGCAATTTTAATATAACAGTCGGTAAGCAAATACAAAATCGCATTTCACGGCGGTTCTTTCTGATTGTCAATCTGCAAATATACAGGTCTTCCTCCAGTTAAAGACCACAATTGGGACCGAGGTTTTCATGGTCTTCAGCTTTGGTCTGTAATATTAGAATAATAAAAAATGAAAGACATTTGTTAATTTCGGACCACAGAAAAATGGTATTTAATTGGAGGTGGCTTTAATTGGAGGGGTCTTTCATTAGAGGGAGACATGTATTAATACATTTTATACATTATATATATGTAGGCCTATATATATATATATATATATATATATATGTATAATAAATATGATTATATACATATATATTTCAATTGAAATATATCAGAAGGTGAATATGACAAAGATATAAGTAAAAGTACACATAACCTTGCATTATGCAACATAGTTTATTTTTAAGCATCATAAAATAAGTTATAATTTTTCTCCTGAAAAAATGCGCTATATTTATAAATTTGTTATTTGGGTTTAAATAATAATAAAAAGGAGAATTATAATAAAAATAGGCCTAATAATGATATCAATAATAATAATAATAATAATAATAATAATAATAATAATAATAATAATAATAATAATAATAATAATAATAATAATAATAATAATAATAATACAAATGCATATCACATTTGATTTTCTGTTTTTATTTTCTCTCATTTGCTTATGGTATTGTATTAAAGATACTATAGATCCGAAGATTAGGTGTTCTTCGAGTGCTTTGATTTGGTCAACATCAACTGTGAACTACAAAGACCCCATAGCTACTGATGGTAATAACCCTCTTCCATTAGTCACGTGTTATCCTCCATCCGGGTATCTATTTCCAGACGATGTAAGTACTGTTGAGTGTAACTCCAGTGATCAAGCTAACAACTCCGCATCCTGTAGATTTAATATTACAGTCGGTAAGTTTTTAAATTCATTTGTTGGTAGGTACAATGTGTATTGTATCTTAGGCCTACTAGTAACACCTTTCTTGACACTAAAAATGTAGTCCACATTTCAAGCGCCCTGAGCATCTTACATTAGATGGATTTGTGCGCTATATAAAACTACACTATTATTATTATTATTATTATAATTAGAATAAATAAAAAACAAATATCCATATTTCTATACTGTGTCATATAATGTGTATATTTATTTAGGCCTATATATTTTCTATAATTTGTTTCATTTTATAAAAAAAAAGATACTATACATCCCAAGATTGACTGCCCTTCGAGTGATTCGATTTGGTCAACATCAACTGTGAACTACAATGAACCCATAGCTACTGATGGTAATAACCCTCCTCCATCAGTCACGTGTTATCCTCCGTCCATGTCTCTATTTCCTGAGGGTGTAAGTACTGTTGAGTGTACCTCCAGTGACCAAGCCAACAACACCGCGTCCTGTAGTTTTAATATTACAGTCGGTGAGTTTTTCAATTCATTTGTTGGTAGGTACAATATGTGTATTGTATCGTACTAGTAACCTTTCTTGACACTAAAAATGTAGGCGTGTAATTAGAAGAAGTAAACAACGAATATCCATATGTATATACTGTGTCATAATAATGTGTATATTTATTTAGGCCTATTTATTTTCTATAATTTATTTCATTTTATAAAAAAAAGATACTATACATCCCAAGATTGACAGTGTACCTCCAGTGACCAAGCCAACAACACCGCGTCCTGTATGTTTAATATAACAGTCGGTAAGTTTCGAATTGGAATAAAATACTCCGGTACTTATTTCAAGAGAGTTTTTTTTTTTTGTATTTTGTATTTTCTGCATTTTCACCATTTCATGAGAGTTCCGACATAAAGTCCTATGAATAACAACATGCTGTATTCTAAAAAAATAAGATAATACTCTGCTCTAGATATAACATAAACCTAAGCAGAATTAGTCAATGCATCATTCGACCGTATACAGTACGTGATATCAATTGCATAGCAAAGGACCGAGTAAATAACATGCACTCATGTAGGTTTAGTGTATTTGTTGGTAGGTACAAAGTGTACATACTTTTAAAGGTGATTATTACACACTATTGTCAACCTGAAGATGATAATGATGATGATGATCTGTTGTTTGGTCTAAATGTATGAACTATGGTAAAATAACATCAAGCAATCATAGGATAGTAGCAGTTAATGATGTGTTACTTAACTCTATACCGTAGAACCTCAAGTAGAAACCAAATGGGTTTAATCTCGAGAAGAATCCCATCTCGAATTGAAGTCCTCCCTCTTTGGTTTGCAAAAGTAGACTTGAAAAATAAGTCTTGGGCTTCTTTTCGAGATAGTACAGAACTACACTGTACATGAACTTGAAAGAATCAAAATAAATTTAAAACACGCTTGGTTGATATGCTAGTTTTAGGTGATTTGTTGCCAGTTAATTCACTCCATGATACAGACTGAAGTTACAGTGGCCCTGTTTATTGTTTTATAGTAGTAATTCCCAAAATTTATAGCATTTATTTTGAAAAGAAGCCCCCTTCTTTACTTTCAAAAGTAGCCTTGAAAAGAATGCCATCTCGAAAAGACGCCCATCCAAAGTTCGAAAAAAAAAACAAAAAAACAAGAAGCAGAAACACAGGGCTTCAATTCGAGGTTTTATGGAACAATAACTTCAACCAATCATTAGATATTTAGTTATCACGAATTTCTCTACATCGGTTACTGAAGTTTAAATTGACCTGCGAATAAATTAAAAACTCTGTTAAACAAAACACACAAAAACAATGTTTAAATTATTTCAAGAAATATATTTAAGTGGGCATCGAGTAGAATCAATGGTAAATGCACTCATGTCTTCACTTGATCTTATTGATTCATTTTCTGTTTGACTTTGAAGCATACAACAATTTTAGGCTTGAAGAGTACCAAGCATTTATCAAGACGTCCTTAGACCCCCATGGACTTGACAGCACATGGGATAGATGTTCTAATAGCAACGATAATACAGAATTCATGTTTATTATCGGTAACAAATATATAAATTGTGAAAATTCATCATATGGTTCTTTAATATATTCTGTAAAGAGTACACAATTAGCATGGAAAGGAAGATCTTGCCTAAAAAATGTGTAAATTATAATATTATTATTTAATATTGCTTTTTGACATTGTTAATTCAAAGATTTTCTCTTATTTGAAATGGTAATCTAATATGTATTTTGCGACCACATTGGTGCTTTAAAAAAAATTTATATAGTACTGTGAACCTGTATTTAATATTTTTACATTGTTTACTTTCTGCTTAGATATTTTCGGTGTCTTGTGTTCCTTTTAGTGGTGATGATATTTGATTTTGAATTTAGATTTTATGTTTATATGTATACATATACATACACAATATATAATTATATAGGCCTATATATATATATATATACTTTTATACTGTGTACATTTATGTGGCAACCACTCCTCACAAAGTCAAATTTTAGTTATTATACTTTTCGCTTTTACGGGGTTTGCTTGATTCGATTATAACATCTTGTTCCTATCCGAGTACTATTATTAATATTATCCATTTGTTTATATAGGTATGTATATGTATATAAAGCTGTGTATGTGTATTTGTATGTATATGTACATATATAAATACCTGTATATATAATTATGTAAAAGTAAATAAAAATGATTTTATATATTTGACATATTTAATTTTGTTATACACTTTATTTGTATTCTTTATTATCTTTGGTTGGTCATTTATTTTTTGCCTTCAATATATTCATGAGAGTTGCATTGTTTTAAGCTTTTGTACAGTTCCATTTGGACGCACCTTTACAATTTTGAAGTTTGCTACTGTTAAAAAAGTTTTCGATTAATATTACATATTAATTACTATGTTAAATCCCGATAATTTCCGTTTTACCAGCAAGATTTTATTTTATTACCAGATACTACTCCACCAAGCATCACGTGTCCAAAAGATATTGTAACTGAGCATCCTTCACCGAATTGGAAAGAACCCGTACCGACAGATGAATTCGGGGTCAAGACGACGGAGTGCAATTCACAGCCAAATACAATCTACCAGGTTGGATCTGCAAACTTAATCACATGCAAGGCAGAGGACTATGCACAAAACACAAACGATTGCTCATTTCTTATACTTATAGGTAATGTTACTTCAATAGGCCTAAGTGCGCCCTTTTGAAGTTTCAAATATACGCATTGATATGTCAAAGGTCAAGTCATATAATTAAATATGCATATGACTATCTGTGTTTCTCTTTTACTTTTTATCAAACTTCTCAAATTTGTCGAAAATGTACTCTACGTGTTGAGTTCGGTGTATAGGCCTAACCGTTTATTATATGGCAATATTTCTGTGGTATCTTTCAGAAACTGATCTCACTGAAGAAATCGCAAACATTACTTTAGTAAGTATCTGTTCATAGATATAAGTCATATTCGTGTGATTACTGTAACTTAACATTATTCTAATCCGATAAGTCTGCTCTGTTTGCGTGACGCAGTGGAACTGCTCATAATACAGAAACCACGGTGATGGCTTCCACTAATATCGCCTGATAGATTTTGAATTGACTTGCTTATTAGCATTTTTTTTATATGTTCGTTTTATTGTTATTATGGACAGATTATAAAAATGATTGTGTTTGTTCATATTATAGGATGTTACTGTAAATAATGTTGATGTTGTTGCTAGCCAACTAGACAATATTACAGAAAGTGCTGAAGTTTTGAAGCCTGCCGACGTTGTAGAAGTTTCTAATGGGTTAACAGACATCGTAGCTATAAACTCTACTAACAAAAATGTAGGCAATATTTGTGTGCATATTTTGGTTATGCCGTATAACTCAGATCAATTAATTGTCATTTTACTGTTTGCATTCATATAATGCTTTATAGAGTTATTATTATTATAGAGTTGTATGAATTAACATGGTTTTAGACTTTTACCAGTTGCATACAGCGTAGTTTTAGGAAATATGCCAGTTGCACATAGTGTTAGACTTCTGTTAGTTGCATACGACGTAGTTTTAGAATTATGTCATGTGCATACCACATAATTTTATACCTTTGCCAAGTTCTTCCAATTGGAAGAACTTGGTCAGTTGACCTCTCGAACATAGCATCAAAAGCGTTCTAAGAAACATGTACACATGCGTACTCGAATTAAACCAAAGTTCAGATATTTAAAAGATAAAATTAAAATGAAATGATTAACAAAAAAATTGTTTGAACTGCTGTGCAATTGCAGGTTACGGAAGCTGTCATCGACACAATTGATAATCTGTTTGAATATTTAGACGATAACAACACTGCTCTCATTGAAGCCTCTGCAGTAATTCTTGGATCTCTTGAACAGCAAGTTGGCACAGCTGCTAGTGATGGTCAGAATTTCACGGACCATGCCGAGAACTTTGCCGTCCAAACTAGTAGTTTCAGTTCGGAGGCGCTGTCTTCAGATGTCCTTTTCTCTGTTAATCAGAATACGATGCAGACAAACGCTTGCTTTAATGACTGCCAAAAGAAGTCAGATTTATCGATTAAGTTACCAAAGAACATTTTAAAGGGGCTGAATGGTAGGTACCGGTACACACATACGAAAAAAAAAAACCAAAAAAAAAAACCACCATAATATTAATATTAATAATCTAGGATTAATAGTTATTGCTGTATAATAATAATTATTATGATAATGATAATAACAATAATAATGTTATATTTATATAGCACATTGCTTACTGCGCTTTACATAATAATAATAATTATTATTATTATTATTATAATACTAATGGTGATGATGATGATGATGATAATGATGATTATGCAATGCCAATTCTGTGAAGTGCAGCACAAGAGACAATAAAACGAAATTGACAGATGGCATTACCTTCTTAAAAGTCAGCCACAGCAACGATGATGATGATGATGATGAGTATGATAATGATGGTGGTGCATGCATATTGTAATTCTTTGAAATATAATTGTCGTGAATTTTTTATCTATAGACTCATTAATTTGAACTGTATATCATAATGAAATTTATAATGATACTGTAATGTTTGCTTTTTTTAGGGACACAAGTAAACGTTAGCTTCGTTGTGTTTAACAGCGACGCCCTCTTTCCATCAAAAACTGTAAAATTATCTAACAGGCTTACATCTGGTGTGGTTCTCGCGGCAACTATCTATGACGAAAGTTTACCGAAAGTATTTGATGACCCCGTTGAACTTGTCTTCAGTGTTCCAACGGTATGCCCTAATATTTGAACAGTCATAGTCTCAGAAGAACGCAATGAATTATGATTTCATTTAGGCCTATAACAAATGTCTATACCTTCACAGTTTCTCGTTTCCATATAATCGTTCCTCATTTCCATATGCTTCTAGTATAAACACATTAATTCATATACATTTGTTTGTAAGTATATTTATATTTAAGACTATTCTATTTTGTAATCATCAGAATCTATCAGCGGAAAATGCGAGCTGTGTATTTTGGAGTGAAACTCTACGTGATTGGTCAAATGTTGGTTGCATTAGCCATACAGTCGAAGAAGATAAGATAACGTGCCAATGTAAACACTTGACTAACTTTGCTGTTCTTATGGTAATAAATCATACACTTTTATTCAAAAATCATTTCTATGTTTAGTCACTTTTGAGG